CTGCGTCGTGCTGGTTTAGATGATATAAAGGACGAATGCCGGCAACACCGTCTTCGGTGGTTTGGTCATGTCAAACGAAGTGGAAACAGTGCCATAACTTTTCTTGCAGATGTTGAAGTACCTGGCACACGTCCCAAAAGCCATCTGAAGAAGTCCTGGTCGCAAACAATCGAGCAAGACATGAAAGCTCTAAATTTAAATGAAATGGATACAACTGATCGTCTAATTTGGCGAAAAAAAATTGATGACAAAGAAAACAACGTCCTACCTCGGGGGAACTGGGTCTCTGGACGCAAAACGAAGATTGATTGAAAAGCAATGCAAATCAAAAGTGTCAAAAATTTTAAAGAACTTTTTAAAATACTGAAATAGACTAACTTGATTTGAAACTACTATGCTCAAAGACTGAAGTTTTGACATTGTCTGGTACCTGAAAAGTGTAAATTAGATGAAGTTGGAGAAGTTATCATTAATATTTCATTGGCCACCAGAGAATTTAACATTATTCCACAATAACTTTATGAGGGATGACAAATGAATGTGAATGACTGAAATGGAGTGGCAGGACTTCAAAGGTCGGTTATGGCAGTACATAATATATTTATTAATAACTCATCTTTGTACACTAGAGATTTTTTAAAAATGTGGCAAACAAAATAATATTCTTACTTTATTGTTATTCCAAGAGATTGGAGAAGCATGTGACGATGAGTAAGTTATAAAATTCAGAGAGGCAATGGCAGGTTTTATCAAAATACTTGAGGACACGTTTGATGTAATACTCGAGGAAACATTTGAAGAAATGCTTGAGGACACATTTGGTGAAACAATCGAGGAAACATTTGAAGTCACGCTTGGGGAAATGTTTGCTAATGTTACCATCGTAGAAGTAGATGGTAATGATGACACTATTGGAAGTGTGGATAAACTTTTTGTGGTGGCATCGGTGATTGCATTATTATGAGATGTAATAGATGAACTCTGAGAATGTGATGATGTTGCTGTAGATGTTGCAGTCACATGTGATGGAGCAACAGTGCTTTTTGTTGTAACATTTGAGAAAGTGCTCTCTGGCGACCCCGAAGAAACTATTTTGATTACATCTGGAACGCTTGCATTGGATCCTTCAAAACAGTTCAAAATGTTGCCATATCATTCCGCAATAACATTACAAAAAATATTTTTAAAGAGTTCATCTACCAATGAAATACTATGCATCAATGCAATCAAAAAAATTATCTCATACCTGACGTGACATCTGAAATATCTTCAATTTTCACTGATGCATTTTTCTTTACTGACGTTTTTTTCAATCTCATGAGCGTGTGAATTCGTTCATAGCTCAAGTTCTTGTCTTTTTTCAAGTCTTCAGACGTTACATCAAAACGATATGTTAGGTCCTGCATTTGAAAACGTTTCATCTGATCTTAGTTAGATTCTACCACCATTAAATACTAATGCAATTAATTTTTATGAGTTCTTAATTTATAATTTGATTTTTTTGTTCCTGCCCATGAATTTATTTGGTTTATCAAGTATGACTCAACTATTTGATTTTTTTTAACATCAATTGAACACAGTCTACTTTTTAAAGAAAGATGTCTGAATTCTATCATAAAATAACCTTAGTACTCATTTAGTTCATGTATTTTACAACCCACAGAATAAATTAAAAACATTTTTGGTCCTTACCACAGTTCAACCTGGTAAGTTTGAATAAGAATTATTCTGAAGACAACGAATTTATCATTTTATGGACCACACACACACACAAACCCACACACAAACCCACGCGCGCATACACAACACACAAACATGTGTAAGCACGTGATTTTAACAGGAGATAAGATAGTGCATTGCATACAGGCAGCCAAATTTGAGAGCAATGAAACAATCAACCGCTGAACAAACAATTTGAATGCAAAACTGTTCGATAATGATATGGCAATATTAACTAAAAAAAATTGCTTTTAAAACGATGCTGCAATCAAAAGATTTACCAGAAAATGTTGAACCATTAAGAAATTTAATTTAAACTTAATTTCGAAAAAATTATGGATCATGGCTGAAGGTTCACATTCGGCTGAAACCAAAATTCCAGTTTTGATATGACACTACATTTTTGTTTTCCGCGTTGGTTAAAGATATTGTTTCTTACCTTCTGATCCCAGTTGATTCCCACCAATCTTCTATAGCCTTCCATTCTTAACGCTTCCAAAAATGCAGTTTCTTTTCATTTGTCAATTGTATTTAATGCAATCTACACAACCGCAATATAATAACTATGATAATTTTGAAGTTCTAATCAGAATGCCTTAATATGAAAAAATGAAATGTTTACATATTCTTATAAGAATTATGGTTTGCTTGTTTGTGCCAATCCTTACGTTACACAGTGATATATAGAATAATTTGTTGGATAACTGAAAACAAATTATGGACAATTTCTGGCCAAGACTGTGTAAAATGAACTTCTTGTGCATATCATATTTGAAAAACTTACCAAATGAGAATATCGACTAAAAAATTAAAACAATGTTCTGATATTTTTTAATTAAAACACCTTGGAAACAGAAAACAATTCATTTTGTATCATCAAAAATTGAGTAGTAGCCAGAATAAATCTTAAAAAACATTAAATCGCTTACACTAACGCCGGCCCACACGCAAATACAGACACTAAACAACAACCTGACTCCAATCTAATAGAAAGCCAAGTAATAACAATCAAAGCCAATAACGAGAAATTAAACATCATAAACACCTATATACCCCCATAGTCAGTCTGTCCATCCAACTTCATAGCAACCCTTGCTCACCTACTATCCATTCCAAATATTATATTGATGGGAGATTTGAACGCTCACGATTCGCTTTGGTATTCGAACATAGAAGATCAGCAAGGTGAAGCACTGGCAGATGAGATTGACTGCGGAACGTTAAATCTAGATACTCCGACCCGTCTACCTAACAAAGGTCAACCGACCTCACCGGACATCTCCATAGCATCCGACACACTGATCACTGCAATGGATTGGACAGTACTAACAACTATGTCATCAGACCATCTACCCATTCACATCACCTTAAACGCTTGTCTGGCACAAACTAAAACCTAAAAATAACCTTCAGTAACTTCAACAAAGCAAATTGGAACCAATACACATCAGAGACCGAATCTGCTTTCTCTACTGCTGTTTTTTCCTCCGACATATCTGCAGCTGAAAAACTATTCCGTAAAACTCTGACAGCCGCCAGCGACCACAGCATTCCTTTGGGCAGACGTATTCACTCACAGCCAAAACTGTCAAAGGAAATTGCAAAGTTGATGAATCAACGGGATAGAATCAGATCCACGGACCCATCATCAAGCAACATCACCTCACTCACAACAACTATCCAACAAAAAATCAATAACTTAAAACTCGCTCATTGGAAGGACTTCCTGGGCACATTCAATAGAAACACCAACACTAAACGCTATGGACTACCATCAAAGCCCTTAACGGCAAACCAAAACAATACCCGAACAATGCCATCAACTTCAACAACAAATCAATAAACAATAATCTACATATGGCCTACCTATTCAATAAAACCTTCACCTCCTTTAAAACAAACTCTACCAACAAATGCAACAGATCTACCACAAGAATCATCAAGAACCTAAGTCTCGATGACCACCCTCTCAATGTATCTACGACCATAAAACAATCAAAACCCTTGAAAGCAACCGGCTCAGATAACCTAACTATCTTTCACCTCAAACATCTTGGCCAAAACGGAATTTCCTTCTTAACTGGCATATTCAATAAATCTCTAAGCACCTGTAAAATTTCCGACATCTACAAAAGGCAAAAATAATACCTCTGCTCAAACCAGGAAAGCCAAACGACTCAAAATCCTATAGACCAATCTCCTTACTCTGCCCAGCAACTAAGATCCTCGAAAAATGCCTCTTACCTATCATATCACAGCATCTCAAACTGGCGGACCATCAACACGGTTTCCGTCCCGGATACTCAACGACAACCGCTCGTAAAACTATCGCCAATGACACATCAAACGGCATCAATCACAAAAGACCGGCCTACCGCACCATTTTGGCTGCCCTAGACCTATCAGAGGCTTTCGACACCGTCAACCATCGCATTCTGCTCTCAGACCTTCTTGTCTCCGCTCCCAAAGTCTGTTATATACTGGCTGTCAAATTACCTGCACGGACGTTCAACTATAACCATATTTCGACAACAGCAGTCCAGACAGCGCATCATTCACACAGGAGTGCCCCAAGGTTCAGTGTTGTCGCCATCACTTTTCAACTACTACGTTTCAAGCACCCCAACCCCTCCGCCGGACCTCAAAATTATCTCATATGCGGATGACTTCTCCATATACTCCACTGAACCGGACCCAGAAAATCAATGATCAGCTTCTCCCACTGGAACATAATCCAAAGATACTCGGCCTAACCTTTGACCCGATGTTATCTTTCTCTCAACACCACAAATAGTCGGAATCAAAGGCCTCGAAACGTAATTCAATAATTAAAGCGCTCAGTGGAACCACCTTCGGTCAAGATAAAGAAACGTTACCGCAGACATACAAGGCCATAGGGCGCCCAGTAATGGAGTATGCCTGCCCTGCCTGGTCTCCACTGACATCAGGCACAAGTAACAAGAGATTACAACGAACTCAAAATGCAGCCCTACGGGTAAAAACAGGATGCCACAAGACGATATCGGAACAGCATCTACTATCAGAATGCGAAATGTTACCTGTAAGACAGCACACCAATATTTTCTCATCTCAGTTCCTATTACATTGTAATAACACTAATCACCCATGCCATCACATTACGAGAGAGCCTCGACCGTACAGAGAATTAAAACAGACCCTACGCTCAAAGTACGACCACGCGGTTCAGCAGGTGCTGCCAATGGATATAAACAGCATCAAGTTAAAGGCATCATCTACAACGTTACAAAGCAGTGCCGCAAAACTCGCTTCCGAGTCTTACCATGCCGCGGTGCTACTCAATGATTGGCCTCCTCCGACACCAAAAATAAACAAGGCAGAAGAGTGTTTGCCTAAAGCAATAAAAAGAACGCTGGCCCAACTCCGCTCCGGTCACTGCATCTCTCTCAACAGCTACAAATCCAAAATTGAAAGTGAATGAAAGTGGGGTCAGCAACATCTATCCACTTTGCCGAAAACATCCCGACGTAGTCCCTCATTTGTTCAGCTGTCCCAGCAACCCTACATCCTTTACGTTAATAGATCTTTGGCACAGCCCGGTTGCCGTTGCCAAATGGCTTCGGATCCGTCTGGACAACGATGTCTGAGGCAGGGCAACAACAACAACAACACACACACAGACATCAACAGACACTTTTATATCAGAATTAATTATCCAAGTACACCAACTAACAAAAAATACAAACTTCACGCTTTTTTGGTAAATCAGAAGTAATTTCCCTTTTGAATGTGTGCTTCTTCTCAAGCAAGCAAGCGTATTTTGAAGGACTTGATTTCTCATCCATCAGTGCACTGCAAGAAAAATTATGTGGAATCAATTAGACAATTGAAAAATGTTAATACAAATTATTTCCAAACTTTTAGAAACATATTTTTAAAAAACACTAAAGTCCTTTCTTCCTTGGTTTGCAGTTCTGCCAATTAAATTTCAGTCAGTAGTAGGAGATATATGTTTATACTGTGATGCATTGAACTAAATATGGCCGGATATTGATATAAGGACTAGACATCAGACCAATCCAGCAGACCTACTTTAAATGTAAACTAATTAATATAAAGAATTTTACAGACCTGTATAGAAACCCTTTAGTTGAACTGCTATCATCCGTTGGAACTGGACTATGTTGTAGACCTAAAAAAAACATATTAAGCATTGCGGTAGCACTAATTAAGTTTACAATCATTAAATAGTGCATAAAGGCAGAACAAATACAACAAAAGAGAACTTTAAAATAAAGATTTTACTTTTTAAATAGGTAGGTATAAAAATAATGGACTGCTATTAGGTATTGACAGAAAGTTATTGTCCTATTATATTGTTTCTATTATTTTTATTATTTCAATTAATTCTATCATTTGCTTAATTCATAAAAGATAATTTGTAAGGATGTTCACATAAGCAGTTATTCTAGTTTCAGAGCATTTCAATTTGTAAATTACAAACTAAAATAACTAACATGCATGATTCAAATAAAAAATAACTATCATGCACGATTCAAATAAATTGATAAAGGCCACTTTGAAAAGAAAGGTGTATCATATTTTCACAAGTACAATTGTGAAATCTTATTTTAATGATCAAAACTTGGCATGAATTGAAAACAAATTGAAAGATTTATATCCACACATGTTCAATACACTAACCAAAAACGCCAGAGCAAGTCACGTCATGATCATCCCCATGCTGAGAACTGCTTTCACAACTACTTCTACTGCTACTGGCTGCAAGAATGCTGTTACTGCTGATGCTGTCCTTCGTCAAATCTCTCAACTGTTACCAAAAAATTATAAAAGCTAATAACAGAACAGAAATTACCTGAATTTAAGTCATTTTTGCAGTCACTTTCTTAGGGTCCACTCAACCCATCTACACAATAAAATGAAGTGTTTATAAGCAGTCTATTAATAATGGAGATCATATTTTATTGATAGAATAGTTTAAATATATCAATATTCATTCAATGCGTTAACTGATTCAAATGCAACAGAATAAATTTTGGCACCGTTAAACGGTTACGTGCAGTAGAGCATAATGAAAAATACTATTGAACATTGGAGTATCAATCTGAGCTATGAACTGAATGTTGGACCAATTAGCAGATGTGAGGCTTACGTAACCACATTAACTCAAAAAAATAAACTTACTAATTACCTCATTCAAGAAACATATAGAGAAATAAGCTCTTTTTATCTAAAAGATTATACAAATATTTTTTGCAACACATTTAAAAATTTCTTAATATTTTCAATTGTTGAAAGTAATAACAGGCATTTTTACACTACAGATATCAATGTGCATTAGTGTTAACTGAAAAAACATCACAACAATCATGTGGGACCTTTCTTTCCATATATCTTCTGCTCGACAAATGCGACACAGCTGCAGGGTTTCTAGTTGTGTTCCACATATATGACTTTGAAATATTACATGTTTCTTGATATGAAGCTTGTTGTTTTTGTTCAAGTAATGGTATTTGCAGTTGAGAATCTGTTGAACATGCAGAGGACGTTGGCAGTGTCTTATCAATTGAAGATGCTGCTCCTCTAACTTCCCTGACATCAACAATTTTCAGTTTCCTGATAGAATTTAGACTCTCTTCCTCACCGTCGTCATGGCAAGATCGCTTCAATGGAGGTCTTCTTAACTCAATTGAAGTGAACGAAGATGCAGACAAGTATGACGATGGCTCAGTTTGAGGAGAATCATCATCTTTTTCAATCTCCATTTTTCTGAATAATTGTTTTAAATTAATTTTATCTAGACACTCTCGACCAAAAACATCTACCAAGTTTCATTGAGACCACATGCTAATAAAGAAAACCCTTCAAATTATGTAAAACCATCAATTTACCTTTTGATCAATTTTGACCGTAAATTTTTTGTATTTAAAAATTCAACTTTTAAAGACCATACACAAATATTATAATCCGGCAACAAAATATTGCCACACATCACACAAAGATAACAAACAGGAAGCAAACCTTCTTTTGACCAGATTGATGTTATCAAGATTGGGCAAGTCATCAATACTTGTGGTCATCATTCGTTTTCTGTTTAATGCATTGTAATTACTTCTCAATGTTACAACGGCCCATTTGGTTTCAATTATTGCCAGCTATTAATTCCATCAACAATAACTCTTTTGACTCTTACATATAAAAGTTTTCACGACAGTTACACAACAAATTTTCAGATTCTGCAATATCAACAACCCTGCTTGCCATTACTATCAAAAATAAAATCTTATAAGCAGAAATAAAAGTTATTGATAAAAACCTTTTCTCATTGAGAAGTCTTACAATCAACTGGTCACTAGTAACTTTGTGGCCGTTCAGTTCTGGAGAACTAAAAAAAAAACTGATGACATAAAAAACATGAAAAAAGTTGTTACGCAGATAATATAAAATACAAAATCAATTGTAATTAGCAGACCCTAAGTTTGTTTCATTGGGCAGAAGAGGTACAACAGATGCATGACTGCTAGGTGATTGTTTCAAGCAGTTTGTTGGCCTGATGCTCGGGTTCAATCTTACTGATGGCGTGTAACCAAATCCAGCATACTTAACTTGATGTGTAGGAGACATTCCATGTTTGAGAGTTGGCAATGTTAAGGTACTGTTCGATTGGCTTTTCGAATCACAGCTGAAACAATTATATTATATTTTCTTACTCACAAAATCATCAAAGAATAGACCACAAAATCAAAAAATATTATCAACTTTCTCCACATGCTGGTACAATTGCATTTCCAATAATTTGATAACTTCATCCTAATGAACAATTACTAGAATGTTAATTATTTTTATTAAAACTGGTAAAAAAAACTAAAATTTGATGATTAAATTTGCCATCAACCCTTACCAATAATTTACCATTCAACTGAAGATATCAACAAATGTATAATTAAATTTATTTATATTGATCCACATATTTATCTTAAGTCAGTAACTTCGTATCTTACAACCAAACTACAAGATAGCATGAATGTAGTAGATACTAATATAATTTGAAGAATTTCTACTTCAACTTCAATTTAGAACTAAAATCAATCTTATATAAATTGTGTATTGGGAATGGAATATTAAAATAAATATAAATGATAACGTTAAATTGGGGAATAACTCATTATATCAAAATGTTAATCTGCTGAATTCCAATTCCAACTGCATATTCCAAGAATTCCCTCCCTTTACTTACCACTTTTTGCATCAAAAACATCTCCATTTTTTATATTTTTCATTCAATGTCTCATTTGTTTTTTACACGTTTGATGCATGCATATCAACAAGAGTGGCCACCACAGAAGTTTGCAAAAACACATATCTCCTTAGTCCAAAATGAAGTGCAACAAATAATATGCTTTTTGAAACAGTAAATAAAAAATTTGAATTGAGTTTTTCACTAATTGACATTATGCTACTAGAGACAATGCAAGCCCCACCATCAATGCTGGTGACTCTGACCAGCTAATACATCCAGCCATCTTTAAACAGGTCTTTCATGTTGTGAGTCCTACAGAACGACCTTGCTGAAATCAACACGTTCATCTGATTAAAGGTCACATA